CAGGGCTGCTCCTGCAGAGCCTGGGCTGCTGCTGGGGGGGCAGTGCCTTTGTAACCAACCCGCCGGTTGCTCCCCCGCAGCAAGTCCAGGAGAAGTGGCACCTGGTGGAGGACCTGTCCCGGCTGCTGCCAGAACTGGGCCTCCGTGACTCGCCGGGGCCCCAATCGCCTCACTCTCCATCTTCGCGCCCGCGGTCTTTCTGCCCTGGATTCCCTTGCCCAGGCTCCCCGGGGCCCAGGTCCCCCAAGGCCCTCAGGTCCCCCAGGCCCTCACCCTCCCACACCGATCCCGCCTGTAGATTCCGCTTCCCCAGCAGCGCGGAGCTGTAGCACCGACCCCCACTCCATCTGGAGCCTCCCCGGCCGCCCTGCAGCCCCACTTCCAACCCAAGAGTCCCCCCTGCCCCACGCTCCTGCTCCTCGGTGACACCCCAAAGCGGGGTTCACACACCCAGGGCAGCAGGAAGAAAACATGGAAACTTGTGTTTACAGTCTGTATTTTTTCTTTTTTTAATCTCTTTGTATAGTTGGTATTTTTATCTTCTTTAAATTTTGTATTTTGTTGGTTGTTGTATGATTACATAATATGTTAGTATGATAACCCATGAATACAGTTTACAAATACACACCCATCGGCAGTGCTCAGACTGTCTACCGCGGAAGCACCATCATAAAATTTGAGGCTCTCCGCCCATGGGGAGGGTCAACCTGGCACAGTTGGAGCAAACCCACAGGGCACACGGCCCAGAACCCTGACACCCGGTTCCTGAGCCAGACCCCCCCGGCAAGGGGCCCAGCGGTCATTGCCCCCCTGACCCCAGGCCTACAGGGCTCACCCGCGTCGGAACAGGGTCTGAAGGCGGCCTCTCCCTAGCGGTTTCTCGCCCCTGCATTCTAAGTGGGCGCACCCCTCCATGAAGGGGGTTCCTCAGGACCCTGCCTGCCATCGGCAGCACCTGGTCGCCCACCCTTTCTGCGTCCCCCAGGGAGCTGACCTTCAGGAATGGTGGGGTGAAGAGGCCCCCCCAGGGCCCAGGCGTTGGGATCCGCCCAAGGCTGGGTTTGTGATTCCCGAGCCTGTCGAAGGTTCCTTTCCGAAGCCGGAGGCTGCAACAGCTCTAAATCCACGGCTCAGCCACGCAGCGACATGCGCTGGGCCCAGCGGCCTAAAGCCCCGGTGACACACCCCACCAGGGCCACTTACCCACAGGGTGACAACGCCTGGTCCACAGACCCCCAGGAGCGAAGGTCAGGAGAAACCCAGGACCTGCTTGCAAAGCCCCCACCTCCACCAGGGTCCCTGCCTGGCTGGGTTCCAGGCCTGGGCAGCGTCTGGGCAGCTCTGACCCGGTGCCCTCAGGCCACAGGCTTCCTGCCGGCTGACTGGCTGCCCCGTCCTCTCACTCACCCAGCGTCACAAGACCATCGGCTGTGGGCACGCGCTGGGCCCTTCCAGGCCGGCAGAGAGCTTGCCAGGGAACAGCGCGGCTCAGGGCAGCCCCAGCCCGGCCCACGCGAAACTGACGCGTCCTCACAAACGTCTCAGGCCAACCTGTGCTTCCCGGCCAGCAGCCTCCGCGTCGCCTGGGAACTTACTAGAAACGCAAACTCTCAGGCCCACGCGGGTCCTGGCTCAGGAGGGCTCTAAGGGCGGCCTGGCCGCGGGGCTCAGTGGTGGAGCGCTGACCTGTGAGCCAGGAGGTCAGGGTTGGGTTCCCGGTCAGGGCACAGGCCCCGGCTGCAGGCTTGAACCCCAGCGGGGCACATGCAGGAGGCAGCCTATCAATGATTCTCTCTCATCATTGATGTTCCTATCTCTCCCTCTGCCTTTCTCTCTAAAATCAATAAATTAAAACAAAACAGAGAGCGAGCTCTAAGGGTGGGGCCCAGTGGGTGAGCCCCTGGGTGAGGGTGGCGCTCACGTGAGAACCGCAGCACAGCACCATGGAGGCCCTTTCCTACCACCTCTGTCCCTCCGGGGAGCACTTCCTGAGAGCAGGCCAGGCACCAGGCAGCCTCCCGGAGCTGGGAGCCGGGAGCTGGGAGCCGTGGGGGAGTCAGTAGCCTGGGCCTCAGCCGCCCTCGGAGTGACTGTGAGGGTTAAATAGCAATTACACAGTGTCCTGGGTCCCGGGTGCCTTGCCCTTCTGAGGAGAGCGGTCCCTCCCCTGTCCGCGCTCAGGGCAGGCTCCAGCCCAGCCCCTGCCCGGCCTCACCCAGCCCAAGGTTACTCAGGGCCGAGCCCAGCATTGGCACCTAACAGGTGCCCGAAGGTGGTCACCAGTGAACCAGGGTGCGATGCCGGAAGTTGTCCCTCCTGCCTGCTTCTCTGATGGGTCCAGCCCACGGGCTCTCCAGCCTGTGTCAGACCCCCCGTGGGGCCTGGGCGGGGCCCCCAGGATCACACCAGGTACACCCCAGTCATCCAGGGTAATCCCCCGCCTCGAAGTCACCAGATTAATCAACTCGAGCCTCACCCTAGGAACAGGCGGACTCCAGGGCTCAGGCCTGGACACCCACCCGCCCAGCAAGCGCAGGGCCACAGCCCAGCAGAGGCGGCGAGTTCCCTGTGGGGTGTGGTGGAGGCTGCTGTGGGGGGCCCAGCCCTGGGGCTGGGGCCCCAGCTCCCAGGGCCTCGGGGTTATCTCCCCAATGCAGGTCCCTCCCAGGGAGCAGCCTGGGAGTCCAGGCGGGAGGAGGCCCCACCAGGGGAGGCTCTCTGAGCTGGGCAGAGGCCCACACCGACAGGCATGAGGCTCCCGCTGCTGTTCTGCTTGGCCGCGCTGGGTGAGCCCCCGGGGACATGTTGGGAGGGGCCCCTGCGCTGAGGTGGGTGTGGGGGGCACAGAGGAGGTGGGACCCGGGTATGGACACCCCGGAAGCACAGGACGCAGATGCAGGGACATGGGCTTGAGTCTCAGACCAGCCCGCACGGCGTGTGTAGCCCAGTCGCTGCTTCTCCATCCGCTTCTCCAGCCCACTATTCAAACGGGCTGATGAGCTCATCGTGGGCTCAGAACAGACTTGATACCCCAGTGCCTCCCTCGGGGCTCAGGAGGAGGCTCCCTGGTGGCCTGCAGCCTCCCCCAAACCACCCTCTCACCCCTCCGCACCTCCCTCTCTCACAGCCACCAGCAGCTTCTCCACGGAGCCAGAGACAGGTGAGCAGCCCAGTAGGCGGGCAGGACAAGGGCCCCACCCAGGGAGGGACTTGGAGGTGGGGAGGGTGCTGCTGGGTGAGAGGGTGCCTGCTGATGGACCATCAGACAATCCTAAAACCTGGCTCCAACCCCTGCAGAGCTCTGGGGGGAGGGGGAGAGAGGAGGAGGCTAGGAAGGGGGCCTCCAGGGGACATGGGGCTGTGTGTGTGTTGGGGGGATCCCTGGGCAGGTGTAGCCCCATCACTCTGCCCTGGGGTGCCATGTATGGAGCAGAAGCCACTCCAGAAGCCTCACAGCTCTGTGGGGTGGGCGTGACCCCAGAGAGGGCACGGGATGGGTGGGGGGTAGGGGGGAGGCGGCGAGCGAAGGGGAAGTCCAGCCCCCGCTCCCAGGTGCAGCAATGGGAGGCTGCCTCCTCTGAGACGCAGTGGGCGGGCTGGGGACCTGGTCTCTGTGCTCTAAGCGGGTGGGTACAGAGCAGGGGGCGGGGAGACCCCGGTCCAGACACCTCCAGTGGTTCTCAACCTTACTGATGCCGCGACCCTTTAATACAGTCCCTCATGTGTGGTGACCCCCAACCATAACATTATTTTCGTTGCTACTTCATAACTGTAACTTTGCTACTGTTATGAATCGTCATGTAACTATCTGGTATGCAGGATGTGTTTTCATTGTTCGCGACCCACAGGTTGAGAACCGCTGTAAGGCTTTGCCTCCACTTTCCCACTCTCCTCCCTCCCCGCCCCTCTCCTGGCTCATGTCTAGCCCTGTGACCCTTAAGGTCAAGGTCAAGGTGGTGGGTCACCTCCCCTGCTGGTTCCCATGGCAGGGAGCTGCTCTTCCATCAGGTCATGGGTCGCTGAGCGGGCATCCGCCTGGGGCCATGCAGGGCAGGTCTCCGGTCTCCGGTCTCCGGTCCGCCCAGCACAGGCAGAAAGGCCATTTCCTCATTTGCTTTAAAAACAAACAGGTTGTGGTGTTTTCGCTAAACGGAGGGCAGAGCTCTGCAGGCCGGGCCTCTGGGGAGTACCTGGCAGGGTGGTCCCTCGCTCAGTCCCCACAAGTCTGCTCACTGAGCTGCTAAGAGACCAACAAGAAAATCATTCATTCATTCATTCGTTCGTTCACTCAGCAAACGCTGGCTGCACCCCTGCTTGGTGCTGGGCCTGCTTTAGGCCCAGAAGGGATGCACGAGGTGCGGAAACAACAGAGCCCTGCCTCGGGGAGCTCACATGCCCGCCGGCTGGGGGACAGGTGTGCTCGGTTGTGATTCTCCCAGAGGAAAGCAAGTGATGGGAGGGAAGGGGGCGCACCTACTGGGAAGTTGGCACTGAGAAGGGGACCCCCCAGCCTTCCAGGCAAAGACATGTAGGGCAGGCCGTGCCTGGAGAAGGGCCTGGTGGCCAGAGTACAGGAAGCAAGGGGGGGGGGCCGCTGGGGAGGTCAGAGGACAGGGGGTCGGGTAGTGGGGGCAGGGAGGCCTGTGGGCGCAGCTGTGAGAGGTTGGATCTGGGGCCTTCGCTGCTGTGTTGAGGAGAGACTGGCGGGGGGCGGGGAGGGATCCAGGGTGCAACCTCGAGGGCACCGGGCTGCTCCCGGGTCCAGAGCTGTGATAACACGGAAGCGGAGGGGTTAAGGCCAGGCCAGCCGACCTGCTGCGGATGGGGCCCGGCAGAG